GGGGCTCCCGACCTGGGATCACCTCCCTGCTCCGGCTCCTCGCTCCCTTCCTCTGCCGAAAGTCGCTCCCTGCGTCCAAACGGAGCCTCTGCCGCCCGCGGGGCTGCTCCCTGTCATCCCTCCCGCAGGCAGGACGGAGCATTAATCGCTGTTTCTCTTACAGAGCTCCAGGGTGTTGGCAGCCACAGTCCTTGCTTGGAGGCAGGGCCTTGGGGAGCAAAACGGGCCCCTCTCTGGGCTGTGTTTGTCTATGGGAAATAATGGAAATTCCCCTGCTTGGGAATAGTGGAGCTGGAGGGGTGAGAACACCTGGTCTGTGGTGCTGGGAGTTAGTCTCTCGAGTGGATCGCTTCTTGGGAATTCCTGTCACCTGTAGGAGTGAGTGCAGCCAGGGAGATGTGCCCTGGTCTGCCAGCACCTAGTGCTGCCTTGGCATGGATTAACCACTAGAGCATTGGGAAAAATAATAACACTTGGTGGGATGTGCTTAGGAAATAAGGGTCGTTCAGTTTTGCTGCTTGTGAGTGAAGCTCGCTGGGATGTGGTTGTATCTGTGGCTTAAAAAACACCATAAAGATGAATTCTTCTGGGAAGGCCAAGGCAGCCCAGGTGTGTTTTAAACTCTGGAATGGGAACAAGGTGAACATTGACCGGGTCCCCCTCCTTCCGCAGTTTGATAAATCCTGATGAGCTCTTGTGCGCAGGCAGGGCAGGCTCGTGGGCAGGTCTGCTGCAGGTCAGGAAACTGTTTTGCTGCCGACCTTCTGAAGAATCCAATGTCTTGATGGGCCTCTCCATTTCTCTCCATGCACGTTGCGTGCTGGGTTGATTGCTCGCAGTGCCAAAAGAGGCAGCCCATAAGCAGTGCCTGGCTTTGGAGGTGTTGGGACACCCTCCGTGTGACCCGTGTGGTGCCTGAGAGCTGAGCAATGAGGGGGAAAGGCTGCGAGGACACCCCAGCTAGGCCAAAAATCCTGGCACAACCGAGCACTTTGTTTTAAGCTTCTCCTGTGCAGGCCTGGGAGGGTCGCTGAAGAGGGGGTGGGAAAGAGGAGCTTGTGTCCTGCTGCTGCACTAACCCTGTGGTAATTAGCCCAGCTCTGGTTGTGGCAGAGCAAATCCCTTGTTCTGTTCCCACTTCTAAACTGCCTCTCGCCCAGTCAATAATCTCTGGGGTGGCGCCTCCTGCATGGGGACAGGATTAAGCAAGTTTGTGTTTCTGCAACAGTTTTTCCCCCTCCGCTCCAGAGCAACCAGGAAATTCCCCGGGCGAGCAAGGTCAAAGCTGCTCCGGGGGTCTTGAGCGCCAGGGTGCGAGGGCACAGTCCCGGCCTGCCCTTCGGGTGGTGACAGGGCTTCGGAGAAGGAGGTTGTCCCTGACCCTTGTGTCCCTGTTTTGGGAGCACCGGTGCACGGCAGCCTGTGTGTTCTGCCCTCGCAGGTGGCGCAGCCGCTGCATGTGCAGGGACACCCATGGGCCCTGGCAGCCCCCGTTGCGTTACCCCGTTCGCCCCGTGGCAGGAGCAGCACATGGAGCCGCATCCCGACTCGGAGCCCTTTGATGTTTGCTCTCTCCTTTGGCTCTTGCGAGGCAGCAGTGATAACGTGTTTGCTCAGCCTCTCAGGGCTAGGTAACGGGCTGCTCTGCTCGGGGCTGCATTCCTACAATCTTCTCCCCGTCTATTTTCTCTTATATAAAAGAAAAATGTCTGGTGACTACCTTTGCTAACACTGGACTTTGTTCTGTTTCCTGATATAGGGTTTCTTGCCTTTTAAGAACATCATTCATGAAACTTGCATAAGCTGTTTTCGCCATGTGATCGTTTCATCCGAGCGGTGAGATTATCTTGTAGCACCGTGATGAAGAGTGAGTCACGAGCCCTGCCATGGCAGGTGCACCTCTGCAAAGACTGTGGTTAGAGAGGCTGAAGTTTCATATAGCAGAGCAAATAATTACAGGGTGCTGGTAATCTTGCTGCTCCTCCCCAGGTAAACATTACAATTGATTATGTGCTGTGAATTGGGCACAGAAGCTTCAACGAATAGGAGAGAAGTGCTCGTAATGCTGAAGGCTTCTCAAAGGTTGCAAGTCCAAAGGGTAATTAACCTGAACCCTAGAGAGGTTATAATAATGTTCTTGATTAGTTTTTCAACCACTTTCATGCCTCTAGTTGTCTTTCAAGATTTCTTGTGGGCCCTTGCAGTGGAATCAAGTAGCATCTTTGGCAAATTATCCTTTGCATTCTCACTTATCTCTATGGTCTAAGGGTTGCGAGCTTTGGAGTTAAAAGTGGGATGGTTTTTCCTCTTTGGAAAATGTGGATGTGCACGTCCAAATTGTGTGTGAAGGTCCAGTACCAGCCTAGGGAGCTCGTAGAGCTGACTTTGCTGCTTTGGCAAATGCCCTGGGTCTTGCTGTGTGGTTGCTTGTGAAACGCATCTATTGACTTCACGGGTTCATGGGTCATTGCTGGCATCTCTTGGTTGTGCTCGCTGCGAGCTTTGGAGGAGCAGGCTGATAAAATGCCTGGGAGGATTGTGCAAGCCCTGGTTGTGCAACACCGCTGCGTAAGTAAATGCTTGAGGTAAGAGAAGCAACTTAATTTTATAATGGAAAAGAAAGTGTCAAGTACCTTCTGCTTATGTGGACCACGTTAGGGTGGGAGGGCAGAGCTGGAGAACTGCAGTTTTTGGAGCTCAGCCTCTCCCTTTTATTCTCTGCGTTATCGTTCCCTCTGGGGGATGTTTCCCTGGAGGTGGTTTGAGGCTGCCTCCTTGCTCGCCCTGTGGCTTTGTCCCCTTCATGGCATCACCTGGTGACAGTTTCATGGGCTTTTGGAAAAACAAAAGAAGGTTCCGATGGCCTTGCCTGCAGCAGATGGAGTGTTGGCAGGATGACCACACACACTTCTAATAGGACAGGCCAGTGCAGAGCCCAGGCCTGTGACCCGGAGGAGAGGTCTTGGCGAGTTCCTGCACCGTGGTCCCACGCGTAAGGATTGTGCAGTTGCATCTAGCCCCTTACAGTAGCACGGGAGACAGGCACGTAACCACTAAACTGCTTCCACGTCCCCGGGTGAAAGCTACCTTATTGATACAAAAATGCTCCCATTCAGTATAAATAGACCCTGGTTTTATTAAAATAAAGGCTACAAAACATACAGCTCCAACCAGAGGTGTCTGCAGTTCTTAAATCTTTTCAGGGTCTATTTAACCATGTTTCTCTGCTCTTCAGCTGGTAGGTTCAAAGGAGACCTTGCAAACGAGCAGTGTCAAGGAGTTTTGCCAACAAAACACTTTGGTGGAAGAAATCAAAGTCTGTGGCTACCAACCCCTTCTGTCATGTTTCTATAATGTGGCAGCCCCAGACAAATCATTGAAGAGGTGGCTGGCCAGCTGAGCACATATTTCTGCCATGGGTACATTGTTTTTTGGGTGTAGTGGAGTAATGGGTTGTCCTTGGGAGTCAAGGCTTCGGGGTTTCAAAATGTTAGCAGTGGTGCAACCCTGTTCCCATTTCAAACTGTTCCTGTCGTGGGATGTTCGAGTTCTCCTGCGTTGGGAAGGAGAGGGGATGAGCAGTATCAGCTCGCAGAAGAGCAGTACCTGCTGTTCTCAGGCTTTGCTTATGCTGCAAACCTGAACACTGGTTTTTCCGTTCTAGATCACGCTAATCTGCGTGGAGGTAGGTTCTTAAGTGTTGTGAGATTGTGAGATGCTTCTCATGCTTGTTCAGAGGTTGCGGCCCTGGCTTTTTCCTGGTCAAGGAACTTTTTCCTGGTCAAGGAAGGTTGTGCAATTAAGTAGTTATGGGTTGCTTTCTTTTAAGATAACTTGGCAGCGTTCAATCATATGTTGGATAATGCCTTAAATCCTTTTCTTCAGTGTAATGGTATAGTCTTACCTTGGTACACCCACAGAATAGAGTTGCCTCCTGCCTCGCTAAAACCATTTTTCTTGTTCTTCCCTTGTTTTATAACTATTCTGCTGTCCTTGAATGATATCTATGGGTCAGAAGAAAAATGTGAATGCGCCACTGAGAGCTTAAATACACAGCACTTCTAGCTCCAGACTGATCGATGGGCATTCTGCTTCTTTCTCATGCCTAAAACAGAAATTTTGCCAATCCCTGAGCCGTTATGTCAAGGCCTGATTCAAAGAGACCTTGTGTGGAGAGAGTCATTTGTTGTGTTTCTTTCCAAAGAAGCAGCTTTGTGTGCCTGCTTCTTACCCCTTTTCAATATGATCTTGCAGCCAAGTACCAAGGCAGATATTGAGGCTGATGTGGGAGGAAGGCTCCCTGTTGTGCATCTTCCCTTAACACCAGTGTGCAGCTCTCTTGCTAATGCTGCTGTGCTGGCAGGAAGAGAAATCCTCACTGCAGCAGGTGAGAAAAGGGAGTCAGAATGGGTGAGGCACAATAGCCTGGACATAAATATCATCTCGCCACCAGCCACCTCTGTGCCCTTCAATGACAGAAGGGACATCTGGTGACGTGTGCCCATGTGCATCTAGGGCATTCGTGTGGGGGGTGCTTGGTCAGAAAAAGGGCTCTTGCTGAGCTTACAGGGTGCTGAAACACTTTATTTCTGCTTTTGTGAGTGATTTCTGTGCTGAATCAGTGACACAAGGGCCATCATGTGACTGCCGAGAGCCGCCTTCTGCCAAGTCATCTCAGCAATGTTCACTTGTTCTGCACAGGGCTCTTGCTGGACCCGACGTGGAGCCTGCCAGTGCAAAAGAGCTGGCAGCTTTCTGAGCGTATTTTGCTTTTAGACTTGGACGCGCTCCTGTTCCCCAGAAGCTGGAAGGCGGCCGCTTGGTGAGTGCCCTCGCGGATGTGCCGGGGCCGCCTGGCACGGAGGGTCCTGGTGCTCCAGGACTCGTGGCTGCTGCTGGGATGGGCGCAGCGGGATCCTTCCTGGAGGCAGGTTTGGCTTTAAAGCAGTCACCTGCTGTCCCCCCTGGCAATGAGCTGGGCCCTTTGGACCTTGCTGCCCGCTGGCTAAGGCTTGGCTGGCTGCTCCGTCCGAATGCTGCCCGTCTCCGGGAGTACCTGCGTGAGCAGCATGGCAACTAGTGACATGGCGTGTGCTTGGGTAACCTGCTTTCTCCTATAACTTGGTTGTCGCGAATTTCTCTGTGTGCTTATTGCAAAACAGAGCCTCTGCCTCCAGCTCCTGCATTTACATCAACCCCAAGTGTCCAAAGGGCACTGCTGCCGCTCAGTGCCAGTTCTGAAAACTCCACAAACAGTTCAGCTGGGTGCAAAAAGAAAAGGTGAGAGGCCTGGAAGATGGGAGCGTGGCTGTTCCGCTGCGCCAGGCCGGGGTGCAGCAGGACTCATGGACACGTGGGGATCCTGAGGAAACATCAGCCTTGTTGAGCCGAGCGCATGGTCTCGGTGGAGGTGCGTGCTCTGTTCTGCTGGCCAGTGCGATCCTCATCCTGGGGCCAGAGCCCGGCCGTCCCTGGGATAAGCGGGGACGGTTGTCGGAGCGGTACCCACGTGGCTGGCGGCGCAAGGCCCTGCTTGCTCAGCGCTCTCCCTTCTCCTTTCTCGTGTGAGCGGGGCCGATGAGTTGCATGTTTACAGCAGCGCGGGTCAGCGCAGAGTCAACCAGAGCTCGGCCGCTGCCTTTGGCAGCAGGAGTCACAGGCCCCCATCCTGCTGTGGAATGGGAGGCCAAACTGTCCTGAGATGCTTGAAATGAAGAGCTAATGCACAAATGGTCAAATTAGCTTCAGAGCTGAGCTTGCTTGGCCTCTAGAAGGTACTGCAAACCATTGTGACTTATGGTAACATCCTTAAATCTGGCAAAAAGCTGCTGCCCCAGGGGGTTCCCTATGAGCTTGGTGCTGTGCCTGCTAGTTGGGGCTGGAGGGACTTTGGGGACTTCTGCTGCATTATCTGCTATTGCCACGTGAGCTGTGCGCAAGAGAGCAATAGATGGTTACTGATGACTTGGTTTTTAGGGTACTTTTCATTCTCATTTTGTTCTAATAGTAGTTTTACTCGTATTTTAATTCCATATTAACCCTGAGATGTGAAATGCCTTCAGTCCATGTGGAAATCTTGAGGGCCTGAGGATGCTTGGCACTGACAAATAATAAAGTTTGCTTCAAGGCTGTGCATTAGAGTTAAAAATATGGTGTGTTTTATACTTTAAAAAAAAAATGCATTTGTCTGGCAGCATAAAGATGCACAGAGAGGTTCCCCTGTGCCTTGAGTGATTGTGAGCTGCTGGATGTCGAGTAAAGTCCCAGCCTCAGAAGAGGCATTTAAAGGCTCAGAAGCTGTGCTAAAATACAGCACTGCCTGACTGCAGTCTTTCGTAGTGCTCTGCATGACACGGGTGCCTTGCATCTTGTCTGAGACTGACTTTTCCAGAAGATACTGTGTGTATAAAAAAGGGTTGAGAACTGGAACAAAGATTTATAAAAGTGAGGAAAATGCACTTGTCTTGATTGAAGATGCAGCAAACACTAGGGATAAACTATTTGTGTTCGGGATTTTCCACTTCTGCCTCAATTTATTTTTCTTTATAAACAAACAAATTCTGATTCTATAAGAGTTTTTCTGGAGACTGCAGAATTTCATAGCTAAGCTCCAAGTAAGGGTCAGGTTCCCCTTCTCTGGCAGTTGGAGAGGATATGCAACTGAACAAGAATTGCTGTGAGTATCTGGAAAGCCCTTGTTAGAGCCAGCAAGGTGAGATGGAGATAAACAGAGGAACAATCTTGTTTTGCTGAAGGGAGTTATGGACATAGTTCCTGAGTTATGACAACCTTTGAAAAATGAACTGTGAAACGAAATTCCACATCCTTTGTATTTCTTTTGCTACATCTAAGCAAATCCTTTCCGAGGGAGGGATAAGGTGAAGGGAGAGGGGAAAAAACCAACAACCTCTAACTAGGTTATAAGACTCGGGTGACTGAATTGTAACGTCCAGGAGCAGGCAGTGACAACTCTCCAAATGGCAGCTATTTTGTGACTTTGGTTCTATCGCTGGAGGATGGCCCTGGCCCTTCCAGGGTTAGAGGGTGCTGTGTGACTTCTGTGAATGAAGAGCAGAGACCTGGGTCTCCTCCCCTGGCCTGCCGGAGCCGAAAGCCTCCGGCCTCGGTGTCCCCCTGCGCCGTGGGGCTGGGCGCAGGGAGCCCCCCTGCAGCTGCAGGGCTCCCCTTTGAAGCGCCGGGGGTTGCGGCGCGGTGAAGGCC